GCTGCGGAACTTATAGGCTCCTAGAGAAGACACAGTTTTATTGGATATTTATCTTGCCTCGTCCAGTACCCATCAGGAAGTATATGTTTGGACATGTCTGGAATGAATCAAATATTGGAGATCAATGGTAAATGCGTCTCATACAATTAGTGATTTTTCTAATCCCTCGACTTCACCTAGAAGGAGACGGTGACCTAAATTGTCAATCTGGTGTTCGATGGGAAGACGTCAACAGAATTCTAAAGGAGAAAGGGATCCCCTTGTTCTTTCCCGTACGCTTATCCATTTCAATTCAAGTTACTATCTGTAACAGGTATGTTCGAACCTATCACAGCTCGACCCAGGACCAGGCGCAGTAAGCACATCCATCATTCGTTGCAGTAGCTTTTGTCCACAAATTTCTAGACCATTGGGGGTATGATAGGTACTGGGTGCTCTGGAAGTAAGCCTCCGCTGATTACAAAGGATATATTCACAGCCTTAATCTTATTGCTTCCCCAGCCAATGCAGTCAGATATGGCACGGCTAAAGCAGAATGGTTTTTGAATGTTGTAAGTTCATTTGTCATTTTTTGTGTTCATTTTTTTTGGGTATTTATACTTCGCTCTGGGTTATCATAGACTGTTGTCCTTCCATCAGGCAAGGTGATAAAGACTCGCCAACGAGCCCGCAAGTCATCCGCTGGTTTTGACACAACAAAGTTGTTCATTGGAGCTGAAGGAACGCTAGGTATTGTAACTGAAGGTACAAGGTTTCACCTTTCCTTTGTGACAAAACATAATCCTAGCTTATTTGTAGCTACGCTGCGACTAGCGCCTTTAATTCCTACGAAAGTTGCCATGGCCCAATTCCCTAACGTGGAAAACGCTGTTAGCGCGGTGCAAGAAATTCTGAACACACCTTATGGTCCTCATATTCGGAAGTCGATTCCATTTTTAAAAGGCCGTCTTATACTGACATTTTCCCCTCACAGAATGCGTAGAATTACTTGATGATCACAGTTCGTGTGATCGGCTTCCGCAAAAGCTTCTCTGCTGACATGCTTCGCAACAGTGATGGCAGCTATCAATAGTGCCGGACTCGTTGATCAGCCTTACCCAGTCCAAGATACTTTGTTCTTCAAGATTCAAGGAGCTGCTGAGTCCATTGAACAAACGTCTAAGATTGTTCAGGAAATCGTTTCGAAGCATGGTAGTAGCCGATTTGAATTTGCTGCGACCGATCAGGAGGCAGAAGATCTTTGGGAAAATCGCAAATATGCATTGCATTCAACCATGGCGGCTCATCCGGGGACTCGGTGTTGGACTACTGATGTTTGGCAAGTGACTTCATCGCGTCTCAACACATCGTGGTGTTTATCCACCTTATTCCCAACTACAGCGTTCCAGTCTCGCTTCTCCCTCGGCTAGTGTACGAGACCAAGCAGGACCTAGCTAAAACTGGGCTAAAATCTACGATTGTTGGTCATGTTGGTGACGGTAGGTTGCAGGTTTCATATTTTCAATCTACCGTCCGTTTATGTATATTTAGGAAACTTCCATGCTCTCATCCTATTCCGCGACGAGGAGGAACTGAAAATAGTCGATGACGCTGTCCATAGGCTGATAGTTCGTGCTATTGCAATGGATGGAACCTGTGAGTCATACCCTTTAACGCTCCAATCATATCCTACGGATCTATGCTGACAAGCTCTCCGGCGTGTCGCAGGCACAGGGGAACATGGAGTCGGTGTAGGGAAAACCGAGTATCTCACAGATGAATTGGGCGAAGATACAGTGGAGTTGATGAAAACGATCAAACGGGCCATTGATCCTTTGGATTTGTTCAATCCAGGAAAGGCGAGTTCTATGACAACTGCGTATCCTGACCAATGCCGTACTAACCACGAAATCCTTTTTCTGCGTAGCTATATCCTGGGAGACACGACGATGGTGAGAAGCATCACTCTTGATACTGCGGTCACCTTAGATTCAGTTCACGTACGCGTTGATATCGCAATTCTGATTTCTACTTCTACTTGCAAAACACAACGAGAATGACCGATTACGATGGAATCATGACTGTACACCAGTTCTGATCGTTCGTTCAGCAGACACGCACCGCTGAAATCACAGTGCCGAAACACCCAGCTGCAGCAGCACAAACATACAAAAACCTCTTTTATCCCTGAGTCATTATCTTATGCTGTCATTTACCAGCAACACTTTTTGCAGCCATTTGTGGCCATTCCTTATATTCATCGGAATTAAACCTACCTTTGAGTGCTTTCGACCGTGACTTGGGTTCCTTTAGTGAGGGAAGTAGACTGTCGTATTCGCGCAGCTCGAATAAAGTTTGGATATTATGGTATACACTGGAACACGTTTGATAGGCACCCCCGCACTGAGTAACGCCGTATTTCAGCTCTCAGTACGATTCATTTTCACAATTGCTGTAAGCTGAGTCATAATGGAACGATTGTGAGTCAATGCCGGCTCTGCTCGCGGCCGCCAAAACTGCATGTTGTGACATTCTGTGACCAGTGTGATATTTATTTCGCTTTACCCCAGACACAGTCCGCGTGTACATTTCTTCATCCTCTTCCACAGCATACATAGAGCATCCCTTTTTTTATATCATTAACGACATAATGAGCAACACCGACTGGGACACTAAACTCGTCATTGGTTCTAAAGCCAAGGCACCCAAAGTAACTAGAAATGCATCTGACTTGAACGGTAAGCTGACTGAGCATGGTTATCGTCATACACGTTGCATGTTCTGATTGACTCATGCCCTCTTTTCTATAGCTGTATGTATATTCTATCTTATCAAGTACAGCTGGACTTAACTCAGAGTAATAGGCGCGGAGAGCAGGTGCTGTTGTTGCCACAGATAAGAAGGTTGTAGCCGGAAACAAGGCTCACCAAGGTAAACCGAATTTCAGACGAAGATCTACCACAGACATTTTGCTGACTGGCATAATTTATCAAGGCCCTGACCACCAACGCATCGCCAAACTTGACCGCGAAAATGAAGTCGCTCCTCCCCCTAAGGTCGCTCCTTCAGTGGGAAAAGTGAGTGCTTACTCATCCCAGACTATTGCTGGCTAGAATTAAACATAATTCTCGATCAGGCTATCCAAACAGCCAGGATGGAAAAGCAGATCACCCAGAAGGATCTGGCTCAGAAAGTGAACGAGAAGCCCTCTGTCATCCAGGATTATGAGTCGGGCAAGGCCATCCCTAATCCTCAAATCCTCAGCAAGTTCGAGCGTATCTTGGGCGTCAAATTACGTGGTATGATATTCTTTGCTCAATCGTCAATTCCTGGCACGTTTTTGATCTACTTACAGGTGCAGACATTGGGAAGAAACTGGAGGGGCCGAAGAAGTCGTAATTTGACCCCTCCGTAGTCGCAACTTGTATCTCGACGTCCTCAGTTATCGCTGTTTGTTCTTTTAGACTTTAATTGCCATGTATCGTTGTTGGATTTTTTGCTTATCCCCAGCATTAAGACAAGAAAGATAATGCTTTGAGCAAGATAAAAATAGTACAAATGTCCTGGGGTGTCTTCATGCTGCATGTTCTCCTTCTGGTGCACCCTATGTGGACATGTTAGTTGGTCTCATGAAGAAAGTATGAGATACCTGCATATGTGATATAGTCTGGACTTTCGCAAGCTTTGTATTCTTTGAGCAATTCCTCAGCCGTCGCTCTGGAAGAATATGATTCATAAATTAGGGACAATTGTTTTCAGGGGGAGGTCGCAACAATTACCGTGCATCATCAAATTCCTCCAATCCATTCTCGAACATCTTTTCTTTCTTGTACTGTTCCAAAAATGCATTTCGTTTGCGAAGACGATCGAATTGATCAAGCATTCGCTTGAAAAGCTGATAATCACATCCTTTGAATCAACATGCGCGTCACCATAAAGCAAGCTGAATCTTACAGAAGCAATGCTAGTGTGATTGGCGAGCATGAGTCCGCTGACCCGATGGTTTGTTGCAATATAAGGTGAACGACGAGTAAGAGCTACCTGTATTGATGCGGGACCCCACGGTATGAAGTTGGCAAGTTGTCGTTCTCTCACCCGAAGGAGAGATTGATGGACCTATGATTCTAGTTGTTAGGCAGCTGCAAGAAAACAGAAGAAATAGGCATACATCAGTTGGGTCAACGTCTCCTTGGATGATGTTCAAAATTGAGATATAGCAGGCTGTTTTACTGGGTGTAGTTGAGACCATACGGTTTTTTGGCTGTAGGAGACGGCGCATCACGTCCAAGACGGTCGTTCTCCGTATAGGTTTAGCCTATGTTTAGCAAATTCGATAAGAACAACAAGTACAAGGTCTATAAAACTGACCTTGTCTATTTGGTCGCTCGTGAACGGTGTATATGATGTCATGAGGAAATGACAACGCGGTGTTGGAATAAGGGAGGCAATGATGCCAACCAAATCATTGTTCATGTAACCAGGATATCGGAGGGTTTGGGTGCTGGCGGCCATGACTGTTGACACCTTTTTGAAGTAAAACAGTATCTTTAGTAATTGTTCCATGATGAGGCTGCGAGAGAGTTTACTGACAAGCTGGTTAGTCTGATCAAATGACGGCGTCTGGACGTGTAACCGGTCTGCCGAGATACGAGCAAGAGCGCCATTGTCAAGGACAACCACAGAGTCAGCATGGTTGGTCAATCTTTTGAGAGTCAAAAGAGAGTTATATGGCTGAACAACAACATCTCCTTCCTGGGCATTCGGGAATACTGAGTATGTCTGAATGAGCTTCTTTGGAAATCGATCATTAAGACGCTCGAGCAGAAAAGAGCCAAAACCAGAGCCCGTTCCTCCGGCTATGGAGTGCATAAGCATAAAACCCTAAGCAGATAGTTCAATATTCTAGAATGCTGAATGAGCTTTATAAGAACGTACCTCCAGTGAATCGCTTCCTTCTGCTTCTCGGTCTACCATCTCCATAACCTCCTCGTAGAGCCTCTCACCAGATGCATAACCATGAGCCCAGTTGTTACCAGCTCCACCTCCATCTTTCGACATGAATATGTTCTCAGGGTTATACAAATTTGCCCAGGGAGAGCTTAGGATGTTGTTGATCACCTGTGTACTGAGTGGTCTGAAACATCAGCGATAATCAAACTGAAAACCTGCGTACTCGTGGTTCAAGATCAACAAGGATAGCACGGGGAATATAATGCTCGTCGTCAGCCTGATAAAAGAACACGTCCTTTCGATCTCCACCCTCGGTGGCCCATTCCTCGAGAATGCCTTCCTTGCTAATTCCATGTTCTGCGCACAAGCGCTGCCAGTAAACGGCTCCCACTAGGCTTGGGTCAGAATATTGCATTACTCTGAACATTCTACAACCTACTTTGATTTCCACATTGCCCCAGCTGTAGTGTAACAATTTCCCGAGGCATGCTCACAGACGCGTTTCAAGAGCGTGTTCAATTGGAGGTCACACAAGTCACAGCGCGTTTGAGCCATGCCAGTGTGTGGATTCACACAGCTAGATGTTGTTGGGATTACAGTTCTATGTATAATATGCAGTTCAGAATCGAAGAACATGTACATGGAAACAAATGAAGTAAAATATTGCGAAGACTATGTGAGGTGTCTACCGGCCTTGAGCCTTCAGTAAGTATGGATGATGCTGAATCCGAGTCATTGCTAATGATGGTGGCCTTAAGCCACCCTTCGAGAACCCTGATGTGAAGTTGGAAAACATGAAACAAGACTGTCCACGTTGAAAGAAAAAAGAAAAGGGCGTCAGAAACATCTGAGTATAGATAAAGAAATAGGGATGTCGCTTTCAGAGAAGGGAACGAAAACAGACTCGGGCTGTCACCGCGAATCGAGAGTTGGAAACAAAAAAACAATAACCAAGACTAAAACCATATCTTAACGCTTTTTTCTCATCGGGAGTTTCTTTATCTGCCTACCACCTGCAGGTGGTGGAGGAGGCGCAGATCCTATAGTGAATAATGCACCCCCTCCTCCTCCAGCACTGGGCGGAGGTGCACCAAAAGAAGAGGCAGTCGGTGTAGCAGTCGTTGCAGAACCATTCTGCTGACCGAATGTAAATCCACCACTAGAGGTAGCAGATTGTGGGAGGAGATTATTTCCAGCGGCAGGAGAAGCCGGTTGACTAGAGGCTCCAAAAGCGAAACCTGTGTTACTAGGTGCTGCTGCAGGTGCGCCAAAAGAGAATGGCGTCGACTGTGGCTGGTTGAAAGGCGAAGGACTCGCGGGCGCGGAGGCGGGGCTTACACTTGATTGTCCGAAAACGTTAGGTGGGGCACCGAACCCGAAAGGCGATGAGGGAGCGGCATTAGGTGAAGATTGTCCGAAAGAGAACGAAGGAGCTGCATTAGGGGAAGGTACGACTGGACTTTCGGTAGGCTTTGAACCAAAAGAGAAGCCAGGGATAGTTAAGGACTGACCAAAGCCACCAAAGGAAGGTGCAGGCTTATTTTCTGTTTTGGCTTCAGCTTTCGCTCCAAATGGATTGGCAGCTGGTGTCCCGAAATTGAACCCTGGTGAACTCGTTTGATTCTGGCCAAATGATGGCCTCCCAGAAGTTCCTTCCATGGATGAACCAGATGTTCCAAATGAGAAACCAAGAGTTGGTCGGTCTGCTAGCTTCTCATTTCCGTTCATATTCATTTCCCTCGTTGGACTTTCCTCCATCTGCACTTCCTGCTCATCTTTGGGAGGCGTTGTAGCCCGAACAGGTGCTGTTTGTCCAAAAGAGAACGACTTGCTAGAGACATCAGATGCATTGGTGTTCGAACTAGGTGTACCGAACATAAATGAAGACGTAGCAAGAGGAGTGGATACTCCAGGGGTACCGAATGAAAATGCTGCAGCTTTTTTCTCAGGAGCAGAAGGAGTAGAAGGAGCAGAACCAAACGAAAAGGAGTTGGAGGCCGGTTTTTCCTCTGCAACTGTTGTCGCGGTCGGTTGTGGACCGAAGGAGAAACCTGAACTCACGCCTCCAAATAGTGGTTTTTGCGCTTCGGTGGCAGGAGCTGGACTAGACGGTGCAACAGAAGCAGTCGGCTGACCAAACGAAAAGGCATTTTTAGGCGCCTCTGCCGCTTTACCAGACGGATCGAAGCTGAAAGCTGATGTTGGGGTAACAGTTTCAATTTGTGAAGTGGGCTTTGCTTTATCGACAGCAGTTGTCCCAAAAGACGCAGCGGCCTTCCGTAGTTCTGGTTGTGCCACCGACTGCATCGCAGATTCACTGGACTTGTTTCCCTGGGCAAAAGAAAAAGGCGATGAAATTGTAATCTCTGGTTTGGAGGAAGCGAAGACATTTGCATCTTTCGGCTCCTGAGAAGCTGCAGAGCTCTCCTTAGGTGCGGGAGTAGCCGCAGTCTGCCCAAACAAAGACGTCGCAGCAGAACTAGAACTGAGTCCAAATGCCAAAATAGGTGCATTGTTGCTAGATGACATGCTGAACGTTTGTGTTGAGGTAGAAGACGGTCCACCCATATTTCCAAACAAAGATAACTTGGGCTCAGCTATCGAACAGCTAGCACTGTCATTCTCTTTCGTTTCACCCTGCAATACAGGATTTTCTACGTCCTTCGCTGGGACCGGTAGAGGTACAGCACCGAAAGAAAGAGGCGGCATATTGACCGTGGCCGGAGGCTTCGAGAGCACCGCGGAATTAGCGAAGAAATTGGGAATTCCTGACGTTGTAGGAGGAGCTGAACCATTTGATGGCGCGGATCCTGACAGGGATGACGTAGTATAGGTGTCAGGTTTAGCGGGCTGGGGTGTAGGAGGCACCAGCGATATAGTGGGTATTGATGTCGGACGAGCCGGCGTTTCCTCGGCTGGAGCAGGTTTGCTGGTTCCCTCGGTTGATTGTGGTACTGCAAAAAGTGGCGTAACAGCAGCTGCAGTAACTGAAACTGCTGGTGTTGTAGACCTTGCGATCGAGAAGGGCAGCGTGCTGGTCGGTACGTTAACTGAGTTCAGCTTCACTGGTGGTATCTAAAGTGACATAATTGATAAGAAATCTGGTTCAAATCGTCTCAGTGAAAACAACTTACATCTTTGGCGAAGGTAAACCCAGCAGGGATCTCGAAGACTGGTGCTTTCTTAGCCGCCTCTTCCAACATGTTCTGCTCTGCGATCCTCGCTTCTTCCGTCTGACTGTCCTCTTCATCTTCATCATATATAGCGGAGAACCTATTGTTGGATCTCGATACAGGACGTGATATATGAGACCGAGCAATCCGTGTACGTCCTACTCTTAAGGAAGATACCTCACGGCCTGCATTGGAATCGAATCGAGGCTCAGCCCTTTGCAAGGAAGTTGGCACACCGGCCCTGTCTTTGTGCTTGCGACTAGAACCTATCTTGACCGTCGCTTGCGGCTTCTCCTCTTCCACATAATCATCTTCCATGGCATCTTCTCTCTCCCTTTCCCTAGCCTGCTCTTCTTCCCGTTTACGTCTCGCTAACAATTTCTTCATACCACCTTCTCCCGCATATGGTTTGGTCATATTCACCTCCTCTTGTTTCCTGGCTTTTTTACCCTTGATTTTCATACCAAGACGAGGCTTTCCACTCCTTTCATCACGCATTAATGTAATCGAGCGAGACTGTTTAGGCATGAACATCTCCGGGATGGCAGAGGAACCTTTCAAGCGCGTCGGTAGCAGCGGTGTCTTGTACACATCTAGCTCCTGTAACACCTTTTCGGCAGCATTCATAGGCCGGAGAGAAGCTGAACAAAATCACGTTAGTGGGTTGATTGGCCTGTGATCTAGCGAAGACTTACAGCCAGAAACATCCTGCATCGACCCACTCCCAAATAGAAGAGATCCACGTTGTCGGACGGGGGATCGTGACTAGGATCACGGTTATAAGTGGATATCATAACTCGAGAGAAAGAACATACGCTTCGCTGCGATTCCATCAAAGACCCCAGAGTGGTTTGCTTAGATAAGGTCGTAGAATCTGATTTTTGCAAGCCAGGGGGTGGCTTCACGAAGATCGGATTTGACATTAATGAAGCCAACGGTGGGGGCTCGTGAGATTTACGTTCATGAGCAGAATTGACGGTGGCTCCAGATGGCTGAGGAGTTAAGGAAGTACGCATGCGCAGATGCCTATTGGGCGACATGGAAACGTCGCGAGATATGCTCATGGATTTTCTTGAAGCATTACGCGTTTCTGCAGTAAGATCCTGCATAGTATCCTGGCGCTGTATTAGACTCGTACCAAGAGTGATACCCTGACCCGACGGTGGATCCAAGGACATAGTGCGAGATATGCCTTCGGGCTTGAGGTGAGAGCCGCTCGGATATGGTGAAAGGGTGTGTCGATTACGTGGCGATTGAGGTGTTGAAGAAGTCGGTATCGTGGCTGAAGATGCACGAAGATAACGTCTAGCAGGTGAACGCGTTTGTCGTGGCTGCGGCTGAACGGCAGTGGGTGGACGGCGCTGCTGCTGCTGGCCAAAGACGGATCCAGGTGGATCGAGATAACCAGCAGACTGCATATCTCTATCTGGACTATTTACCCGTATTCTTTTGGTCCTGGCGGTACCTTCATCCTCCTCGCGACTTTGAGCAGATGACTGGGGGAGGCGTCTACGCTTTCCTTTAGTGTCCTCGAAATCATCAGTACTGCCAAACCATGACAAGGGTGCTGTGACGATATTTTTGATTGCACCGAAGAGCGAATTCGAACGAGCGATGGGTGTCTTTGAGGTTAGAGGCTTTCGCCTCTGCTCAGAATGAGACTTTGAGGCAGACGTCGGCAGCATCGTGGGCGGCAGCGACGACGAGAGCGACGACGACGGACTCGTGTGGGGACTCGAGGTCGCGGTAGGAAACAGGAAAGAGAACACAGGAAAGAATTTTCTATTATGGTTAGGGTTACAGAGCCACACTTCCGTCACCTCGGATGCAATTGGCACTGGCATTCGTATACACCGGCATGCCGTTGACCTTTCTCTTTGGTTGATAACATGCAGCAAGCATATCCCAGGCTGGGACCACTGGCGCAAAATTATCTGACGCATAGACCGTCAGCATTGCCAGGCTTAAGTTCAAGGCTCATATCATGTTCAAGCTCAAGATTATCGGCTCCAGAGAAACCATGTAACGGAACCCAGGATGTGAGTATCGTATTTTGGTCAAAGTTTCAAACTTACATCTTTATTTCTCTGGATAACAGTCGCAAGAAGGTTGGTTATTTGTAGATTCTGTCTTCCCGGTCCGTTTGGGCACCTGGGAGTTCGTACTCTTTCCTGTTCGTCCAACTTTATGCATAAGCCAACCAATATTGTATCTTACAGTATTCGTCACTACATCGGTATATTTCGCGAAGAAACTCTTCTCGAGAGGCTTGAAGCACTGTTATCATCTGTGAAAACACACGATTTTCAGGTGCTCTTTTTAGAACCCCACGCAAAAGATGGAGGGGTGTTCGTGCACTTCAATTATAATGCCTCTGACCCCGAAAATGCCCTCGTTTCAATTGAGAATGATTTGAAGCAAGAAGCCTTGAAACATGGCGGTATACCATCTTGGACTGGTCTTGGGCGAGGTAATATCTGGCTTGTGAAAGGTCGACCTTGGCGAGAAGTCAGTGACATGGCTAGCTATAAGATGTTAAGCGATAGCTGATTCAAACTACGATCAGGACATGAATAGATACGCTTCTACCGTTGTCAAGTTAGCCTTCGAAGGACCGGACATCCAGGAAGAGTCGTTGTATGATATCCTTCGAGTGAGTTGGGCGCTACTCTGCGAGGTGTAATCTCACCCATTTACCAGCCATACGGTCGCATACAAGACGTTTCGTCTCCGGTACCTGTTCCAGCTGGAACATTTCGTTCATCCACGGTCACATTCCAACGCGTTCGTTCTGCAACTATAGCCCGCAATGTCATCCATGGTTTCAAGTTTGTGGATTCCAGCGCGCCTACGCGGTTACACGCTATATATCAACCTCCAATCCAGGCTCATGCAGCGCGCGATTGGATTACCGGGCATCCACGTATTGTGCTACCCATCATTGTCTTCCTCCTGGGCACTTTGACCTACACAGTAAATTTTATGACTAACATAATTTAGCATGTCCTCTGATCATACTTCTGTTAGATCTTTGATCCCGTTCGTGCGATAATGGTGGAGGGGAAAATACTCAATTGGTTTAACTATCGAGGTGAGCTACTCTCTGGGATAGATTATAACCTGTATCAACAGCAATTTTCAGAGTTCTCACTGTATAAGTGGATGCGCGCGAACACCCTTGACCGACTTTCCTTTGTATCGACATCATCATCAGGGGACATGCCAGCGGAAGACGTCTGGAAAGAACGCAAGGATGCCCAAATCGCATTGAGGAGCTATCTTTCCGACCTTCCTTGTGCGCTATATTCCATCTGCTTAAGCTAGCATCTATTGACAGCATTCCAGCCACCATCGCATTTATACATGGCCCTCAGGGAAGTGGTAAATCACGCATGTTGCACGGTCTGTTGCGTGAGACGAATCGGTGAGTATGAAACAAGTCTACGCCCCTTCTATTCTTTATTGTAACCGATGCAGGAAGGCTCTCGTTATTGACTGTACGGAGCTTAACAAGGCATCGTCTGACGCGAGACTTGTAGCAGGGCTGGCACAACAGACTGGATACTGGCCTATATTTACCTTCTTGAATTCGATGAACAGTATGATAGATCTGGCGAGTGTAGGTATTATCGGACAGAAAGGTATGTCAACGCTTGCCTGTTGCGTGTTGAGCCCTGAAGCCCTCTCGCGCTACCTTAGCCGGGTTTAGTAGCTCGCTCAACGAGCAACTGAAACAAATTCTTGAGGTTGTCGGGACTGCGTTGAAGGGCGTGAGCCGTTCTCTCCGTACCGATGCTCAACGCAAGGTAAAAGCAGACCAAGACTCCGAAGAGCGCAAAGCCCAGGACATCAGCATGCGTGAACGCATCAGAAATGGAACTTGGCATGACGGTCGGTTGGATTGTGTAGCAGGCAATGGCGTTATGTGCGAACTTGGTGTGGGCGACGAATTGATGACAGGACTTGACAGTGAAGCCGGTGATGACATAGGCAGTATGGCACTAGCAAAAACCGAGAAAGGAGAAGAGGATGAACTAGCGAGAAAGAAGAGGAGTGTAGAGGATATTCAGGCTGTGACCGCTCTTCCTATAGTTGTTATCAAGAACTATGCGGCAAGAGGTGGGGCAAATCGAGAGGAGCTGTTGAGCGTATTGGCTCAGTGGGCAGCAACTCTTGCGGAGAACCAGGTCAGCAAGCACGATGCAAATTGGGTTTGATCGTTTGATTTTGACTCTTGAATACAGATTGCCCATGTCATCGTTATGAGTGACAATAGAGAGAACTCGAAACTCTTAGCAAGAGGTATGTCTCGTTTCTTACTATCAATTACGACCTTATCATTTTCTCTCAGCTCTACCATCGAAACCACTTAACTCCATTGCTTTGTATGATGCGGACGCGTCCAGCGCCTTATCTTTCATTAGACAGAGGCTACATGATGCTGGAACGAATATAGAACTTACAACCGATCAGACTGTGTGTATTGGAAAGCTGGGTGGTCGGGCCAGTGATCTAGAAAGTGTAAGGAGCCTTCTTCACATTTCACCAATACGATAGTGATGCAATCCTTATAGTTGATCCACAAAGTTCGAAGTGGTCAGGCTGTAGAGGAAGCTGTGGAGGATATCATTGCCAGAGGTGTCGGTGAGCTACGCAAGAATGCATTTGGCGAGGACCTGGAGGATGCAAAATCACTGCCTTGGTCACGAGAACAGGCCTGGATCGTGCTCAAACTCCTGTCGAAACAGGTGGAGGTAGGAGCTTGTGATTTTTGAACGTGCTCAATCGAAATCTGACACATACTGAAGATTCCGTATTATGATCTGCTACTGGAATTCCCATTCAAAGGAGACGAGTTAGCCCTGCGTAGAATGGAGCACGCGGAGCTCATATCTATTAACACTCGCAATGGTGAGTCTTCGCCATGATTATCTGTGAAGACAATATGTGACAGATGAGCAAAAGGGCGTCCTTCCACTGTACGACCTGGAAAGCCGGTGCTTAAATATGTGTTTGAGCGGGTCGTAAATGGTATGCTGGGTGTCCTCTCTGATTTCCAAAACACGAGACCTTCAACTATTACTATTTCCCTAGATTCGATATTTGGAGCTACACAAGACATATGGGCGAACGAAAAAGTAATTTCAAGTGCTGAGAACACGGTACGGGCATGCGAACAGGAGTTATTGGATCTGAAGGACATAGCTATGGCTGAGAGAAGCTCACTGTGGGGCGGAAAGAAGGCTTCATCTGAAAGGGAGAGCTACCTGTTCAAGAAGATGGCCTCGGCAGAAACCAAGATTCAAACATTGGAGAAACAAAACATTGAGTTAAAGAAGGTACTTCGTAGAGGTGGTTGATTGCCCGTCAGTCAAATTAATGTTTACGGTTGACTATTTATTGCATGTATATAATGAATCGACACTCCTAGCTCAGACAATATAATAATGATACTGAAGACGCTTAGTGTAGCTGGAACTCCTTTGTGTATTTTGTCATGCGTACCAATTCTCAGATTACTAGATGGTGTTGCCTTTAGATCCTAACTGAAGCAAACACCGTGTTTAGGCGCGGGCTGCAACGCGTATCAAGTTATCGTGTACGTATACTTGAACCACCAATCGTATCATTCAGGATTTACACTTATCTATCACCCAAACCTAAGAGGTGGCTTTGCATTCAAACCTGAAAAGAAGTAAAGAACCGGGACTACGAAATCAAAATGGACGGGTCGGGGCATTACTTGTCACTGAAAGTGATGCGGGTTTCTGTGCGTGGTCCGTCTTTCCTTAAATTATGTTCTCAATGGTTCGTTCATGTCTTAAATGTAGAGGCCTGCACTTGCGAGCGCCTGGCAGCCTTTTTACTCTAGTTCCCCATCATTTTCAGCTCATTCAACTGCTTCTATCGTCTCACTTCAAGGGAAAACACCACTCCCTGGTCATCCCAAGACTCTTCGTGATCTTACACACGCATCAGAATTACTGACTCTACCATCGTCTTTCGGTTCAATTCAACTGGGAGAAACATTCTCTAGCTGCCTTTCGGTCAATAATGAAGCAATTGTAGACATCGAGGGCGTTAGCCTAAGAGTAGAGATGCAGACCGCCAACACCAAAACTATCCTTATGGAATTGGGTGGACCAGAGTGCAGACTAGCAGTTGGGGATGCACTGGAACATGTAGTTCACCATGAAATCAAAGAGCTAGGGCAACATGTTCTTGCTTGCATCGTAGCCTATCGATTGCCTCCTGGTGCACGACACTCCCCCGGATCAGCTGAGAGTCATGGCGATCCTAATATCCAGGGATTTCGTAAATTCTACAAATTTGTTGTAAGCACGCATCGCTCAAGTTATAATGTGGTGAAATTCTTAAGTGTTGTTTCTAGGTCACTAACCCACTGTCAGTGAAGACTAAGGTGCACTTACCTCGCTCGCCATCAGCTCAGCTTAGCTCTCTCGAACGGGAAAAGGTGTTCTTAGAGGTTCATATACAGAATATGACTCAAGATTCTCTTTGGTTTGACCGCATGCATCTCGACTGTGCGGACGGCTGGGTTGCTACAGATGCAAATGTCCCTGACGAGAACAATGATGAAGATAAAGAAAGTATATTCTCTGGATCCATGGCTTTAATGCAACCGCAAGATGTGCGACAGTATATATACATCCTGACACCGGTATCTCTGTCCACTTTTCCCTTGGTGCACGCGCCTGGAACCACGATTGCCCTCGGACGCTTAGATATATCTTGGCGGTCGTCATTCGGCGAGCCAGGTCGTTTACTTACCTCTGTATGTTAAAGATATCTCAAGTTATTGATTATGGCACTTATATGTTCCATCCACCTTAGATGCTTTCCCGTCGGGTACCCATAGTTCCTACTCCTCCGCCTCCACCTCAACAACCACCGCCTTCCGCCATTCCTTCGTATCTTCAGCGAGTCAACCCACCCTCTCCTGTCGCATCTCCGCGCCCTCGTTCTCCACAGCTAGTTCCTTCCCGTCCCGGCACTCCGCCTGCGGTACCCTATAGATCTGGTTCACCTTTCCGGAATAAAGCAGTACCAGGGTCCCCTCGTCCGCAATCTCCAAGTGTCCTACCTTCCATCAGCGCATCCATTCCAAATCAATTGCCGTTACCAGTACCCGCACGGCCTCTTGATCTCGAGGTAGACTTATGCGTGCAACACGTGTTGCCGCAAACAATTAGGGTTGAAGAGCCTTTCAAAGTTGGAGTCAGAATTGCCGTGGCAGGCGCACTCCCAAACCCCAAAAACCGTGACAAGAAGGTCAGAATTGTGTCTTTGGTAGTTCAACACCTCCAACCCCCTCGTGCTGCTGCTATACCAGATGTACCTCCGTCAACAGCCACAATCAGCTCTCGATTTTCATCTCTTGGAATGTCATCGTCGTCCACAATAACCACTCCCATACATGGCCTTTCTAGTGCCCTTACAGATAAACTTGTATCAGATTCTCCCTTAAAGCTCCGCAGTGGTGATTCACCATCGCTCCCACCTCCATACTTCGAAGGCTTGGGAGAAGATAAGGCCACAAAACTGGCCGGCACCACATTCCTTGGTCCATCTGCAATTTCCCTCGAACCAATATATTTATCTAATTCCTCAACTCTCCCTGCTGCAAATGAGCTTGATCAGGCAGAGTACGAGATGATTCGAGCCGAGGCTGTGACTGAGATCCAGCTGTCATTTTTACCCTTGCGAACAGGGTTTGTGAGTGTGGGAGGGTTGCGAGTTTTACTTGTTGGCGATAGGATCGCAGGAGATGATCGCGAATACAACGGTGAATACGGACGAGTAGATCAGCGGATATTGAAGGAAATGGAAGTTATTGCTGAAATATGGGTGAATTCTTGACTAGAGCGTTGTTGATAGTCTTATATGAATTTTCTCATGGGTATATGCGTACTCTCGGAGGTCTAGTGTGAAGGTCCTTCATTTATTATGATGACGATACAGTCCGAATGGTATCACTGTATTACAAAAGGAATCCCCTCAAGCAGCGATCCAAGATTGGCTAACTAACAGCTGGACTGAAAGAAGGGCGTGATATCTGACGTCTGAGTCGGAATGTCTCATAAGATCCATTGCTCGTGTCTTGGCACCCAGATCTGTGACAACCCTTGAAGAGAGTTGAAAAAAAAAATTCAATGGCTGTTCAAGTAATTGAGCTCACTTTTTCCCTCTGTCATAGTGTTTGACATATCGTCCAATATCGTGCACTGCTACTGCGAGCACAAGTGGGTCATTTGAGTCGTCCAGCAACCTGATCAATATCCTGAAAGAAGGTGTGGTTAGATACTCAGTTGAATGCATCTAAATCTATACCTTAATTGTTCGTAATCTTTATCATTCAGCTTAGCCGCATTCTCCTTCCAGAAATCTTCCGATTCATGAACAGGAGTCCATGAAAGATGTCCAGATGCTAATTCCGAAGTATACTCGTCATAAGTTCTGTACATATAGTGAGTAAATGCTAACGTGACTATGTAAATTAACACTCACGTCAAGGTTTGGAAGTTCGTTTCAAGCTCATCTTTCACAAATTGAACATCTTCAAGAATATCTTCATCAGACCACTTTCTCCCAGAAAGATTCTTGATGAAAGGTAATAGCTGTGCTACGAGCATTGCTGGTAGGTTCGCAGATGGCGCTTTGGTAACGAAATTCTGAAATCGTTGATGAGATATTAATCCACTCCTATTTGATGAAGGCGAAACGGAAGACTTACTCGGAAAGTGGCAACGATGACCCGGATCACTTTCTCTTTCACTGCCGCTTGCGCTACTGTAATAAGCAAAGGTATAATATCGTATTTCCTACCGGATTCCAAGTGGTCATCAAAAACGAGTAGATTTATCTATAAAATGACTTACTTATTAATTTGTTCTGCTACTTCCTTCTCGAATGATAACAACCAGAAACAGAACCCGACTTGATAGCTCATCTGTGGGCCAGGTTTGTTCCGAATAGAATCGACCAAGCTACGCAGGTATTTAGATATGCTAATTAGCTGTAGGATAACGGCGGATGCTCACCCGTCTATGATACCTGGAATGCCCCATACAGCTTTGCGATATTCAGGACGAGCTAAAAGAGCCTCGAGGCATTGAACAGCTATATCACGTTTGTGGAACGAGCTATCTTGTATCATGGTGGATAAAATGTTCAAGAATGACTGCAAATACTGATGGTGCAGTTGGGTAGCTTCAAAACTAGAGTAAGTAAACTTCAGCTGAGTGCGACAAAGACAGAAGCGGCCCAATGAAATAGCGCGACCTTAGAAGCATGGTTAGGATCTGTGCAGACTTGAGCTGTACAAAATCATCTTGAACATCCGTGCTGCAATGATTGCTGAGTGATAATAGGTAAAGAACGTTAAAGCGAAGAGCGTACCGCAATAAAGGTACATAGGGAAGCTCTGGATCGGTTTGAGAGGCCCTTGTGAAGAGTGGTATGCGCTCGTCGTGATCTAATATACAGTGAATGTTGTATCAAATGGATGTTAGCCCCGCATCTAATCCAAGCGTTAAACGACCTAAGACAAACCAAGGAGAGCATCTGCTATTAGAACTAAGATGCATTGCATGGTATCCACCCTCCGGAGTTTCTTGAGGAGACGGAGATACAGCAGTGCATATGTTTTGCCATCAGAAACGAGGAGAGATTCAGTCTTTGCTCTTGGTTGTCTATCCACTTTCTTGATGAGTGCTAGCTCCTCCGAAGTGACCAAGCCGGCGCGTTGGTATCCCTGAAGAGCTGATTGGAAAAATGAAGAGCTGATTCATGAATATGTTTACCTCCCATGGCACAGGCTTTGACCTGATTTTGGCTGAATTCTCGTCCAGAAACGCGTTTGAGACTAAGGCCACAGACATGGTAGTTCGTTGCGAATGCTCCTCAGTGCCAGATAGCCCAAGTATGCCTTCCATATGTTGTCTCTCTTATGGGTATACATTTCTCACGCGTCTGTTTTCAATCTGTTTTTGCGAGAAATATTGATAAATAATAAATTCGGTATACCCAAATTTCCTCGTCTGGTCCGCTCTCTCTGTGTTCACTACAGACCATGTTCTCCCGTACAGTCCTTTCACCATGTAACCGGCCGCCAAAAGGTAAGATTCATGCATTTGAGTGTTGTGCGCGAGTTCTGAAGGGCTATAGGTCATTTTGGTGGTTTTTGCCGTTCGCTGGCTACTCAGGCCAGTACAGCTCCTACGCCAAGTGCACCAGAGTTCAGCGAGACTACGTCGCGTCCTATAAAGCCTTCACGCCCAATAGTTAATGCAGCGGTCATTCTGAACCGGTCTCCCATCATCACCCGCACACCAACGCCATTTGAAAGGGCTTATTATGCCTACCAATCCCGCATTCACCGCGCTCTACATAATCCTTTCCCTTATGAATTTTATTTCAAACAGGGTTCACCACTCGAGGCAAGGTTTAATATCGAGGAACGCCGCAGAGAAAGAAAAGCATTCGGTGCTCCTTTTGGCATGGACACTGCGGAACAAAGTGAATCTGCCACTCTTGCTGAAGCCAGTCTGAGGGATGAGGACGAAGAAACCATGCCTCGCGTTCACGAGGCAGATACGAAGCAAGACTTGAAAAGTTTAGACAGGAGAGGGCAGCGGAATCTTTACTTGATGCTGTTAAAAAACGAAAGTGGCAAGGACGTCTGGCGGTTTCCTCAAGGTGGTGTCGAAAAAGGCGAGCTTTTACATCAGGTTAGTAGCTAACCTCGATATTCCTTTCTTTTCGATAACCACGCCTTGTCTTCAGGCTGCAAACAGAGACCTCGAAGCCGAATGTGGGAGCCACATGGATACGTGGATAGTTAGCCGTAACCCGATAGGTGTTTACCATCCGTCGTCTGTAGCCGAGCCCAGTTCAAAAGTAAGCTTTCCGCCTTTGAGATGCTCTATGCACACCCGACTAATTTGAACTCCCGCTCGACAGGCTGTGGTCTTCTTCTACAAGGCTCACATCATGGCGGGCCAAGCTCGTCCAGATCCAAAGCGCGTGTTGGATTTCGCATGGTTGACCAAGGGGGAGATATCTAGAAGAGTGGATCCAGAGTACTGGACAGGTATCAAAGACATGCTTTCGGACGCTTAATACTCGTGCTATTGAGATCTAATATATAACTCTCATTGGTTGTGCAGTGGTAGTATCCAGAATAGCTAACTACACTAATTTATATAACACTACTTGGGTGCCGAGATAGCTTTTCGCACATCTGGCCTTTTCTGCGCATCGTCAAACCTACGAACGGTGACATCACACGTCGTACTCTTGCAAATATGTTTCGACTTGGTCTTCAAAACATCAGAGAAAAGTGTGAGGCCCGCCGCACGTTCAACAGCTTCGACTAGCGATAAATATTTCAGTTCACGCAACACATTTCATATATGAAAAAACGAACTAGGCACAACAAAGCTTTCCAGAGGTGCGTCGTCAGCAATGACTGCATTAGGCAAAACGAATGCTCCAGTGGATATTTCTGGGACATCAGGCGTTGAGGGTGACGAGGGACGAGAGGTCAGGACCACCTTGGCAAAATGGGTTGGGACAGCAACATTAGGTGGTGAACCAATCACTTCGTGAGTCTTCGGATAGTATGCTAATAGACAGTCGCGCAAGACATCAGGGTAGAAAGACGTACCACTCTCCATTTTCCATCCGATTCTTGACGAGGAAGATACAGTGGTACGGTGAATACATAGACATCTGAGAACGATCCAGTAAGGCGCCGACACCAGTCCTCTAAGTAAGCCCAATCTAACGGACACAAAATATAAATTAAACAGTATCTCATATTACTGATTCAGGGGCTCACAGTGTCGGTTGAAGCCCGCACCAACTTGAGGGGCAATATTCGACAGAAGGAAGGTCTCATTCATGGCTTCTTGTGATGATTTTGCATCAGCAGCAGGGACCCTATCGGGTTGAAGCGAAAAAAATGAAGATTAGTACCTGTGAAACTAGGCACTCGGAGGGAAAACAAACATATGACCACGGTCATAACCACTCTTGAAGTAATCTTTGAGCAATGCGCGGAAAGGAGTGGGTAAAGCTTCATCTTCCGTGAACGTCGATTTTGAACGATCGCCATTCTCAGGAGAACGACCCAAGGACGACAGTGTTAAATGCTCTGCTGTCTGTGGTGGTGCCGTATGTTATCAGTCGTTTCAGGACACAACCTGACACTTACCCATGCTGGGTGCCGAAGTCTTCGGTCGTAAGCTGCCACATAGGCCTTGCGCACGAGCAGATCCGAGACAGGACCTGGGAGATAAAATGTTGAGACGTTAATAAAGGCCACGCAACCTTTCATGCGACGTACCTGGATTGCCATACTTCAGCACTGGTGATGGGGTAGAGGCAGCAAGGGCTGTGCTTGACAACCTGGCGCTTCCACTAGGCCCTAGCTCGATGAATGCTGGGGACACGCGTGTTTCTTCAGCCGTTTGTGTGACTGGAGAGATTGGCCTCCTCCTGGATGATACAGCTGTCGCAACACCACCTCCGACCAGAGCACCAACCGCGAAACAGGCGGCATGAACAATTGTAGAACTAGCCATAACGCTACAGAACCGAGAGACACGTCAAGTTTTTAACCCTTTATCCGCAATCAAAAGACCCTACCAAGGTATATTAGGCTGTATTGAATGGACAACCACTGGCTTGAAAGGTGAGCCACCCTAAAAAGGACTTGCCACCAACACCGACACGCGTTATTTGGCAAAAGCTTTAGAAACAAACATTGCAACACTCACATGCCAGTGACGCTTATGTACCTACTAGAAAACTACACATGGTTCAGATGTGCACTCCATCAATCTATGATCATATCAGACACATAATATTATCATGATTCTTTCAGTGCTATCTTCTGCGAAGCTATATGTTTACACATGCTTTGTATTGAACTGTATTAATAGTCATGATACAAATACTCAAGATGTCCACATGTAACTTCTAAGAGAAATATGGAACAGTTGCACAACTCTTTACTATTGATTTGGTTGTTCCTTTATGCAGGAGAAACAACAAGCTGAGAGAATTATGGATAACATTGACTGGTCATAGGTACAGCATCGAGAAACAAGCATCATGACGCAGAAGTAGATTGGTGCTAGCTTGTAACAGTTTATTCATATAGTGAGCTAGTCCCTGTAATATGACATGTAGTGAATATCAGCAGTTGAATGATATAGGCCACTAATCCCTGTGCTTACTGAGGTCGATAGTGGACATGGGATCACGACCTGGATTAGATTGTCAAAAAAAGAAAAGAAAGGGATAGAACAATGAATGCTGTGAGTAATGTCACAGGTTTGTACAGCCATAAAGTAAAGTCTAATAGCAAAAAGAGAGCAGGAAAATCATGATGTCATGAGTAAAAAAGGGTAAGGCAAAACACTATCAGTATCAACACAGTTCCTTTATTGTCAGTTAGGCATTCTAAAAAATATGTGTCCATAAAAATGATTCAATAATCAAAAATAATTGCACTGTAAATGAATGTTCTGCTGAAAAAAAAGAAACTGGAGCCACCGGTCCACCACCTAGTCCAAATCCGACAGTTCCATGGCCTTACCAATAGACTGGTTGTGTTGGACCACCTGGTCAAATGAGGGAGGGAGAGGAGTAGTCCCAATTTGGAACAAGTGAGTCCCAGGCAGCGTGTGGTAGGTGTAGCTGTAGCAAAGACGATGGACAAAAGATAAGTGTACCCAAGTGAATGGGACGGCGATGTACATGGGCGATGCAAGGGGATGAACCTTCTCCAGCTCAAAAACTACCCACCCACACTCCAACCAGGCAAGACGAGCAACCGATGTTTTGATGGTATATGATGGAAGATTGACGTCATGAAGATGGACCTTTTGCCCAATTTGGACCAGCTGCCGGGGCTTTGCTGATATCAGCAGCGGCACATGGTGGTTGACGAATTGGCGACGGAAACGGATAGAAAGTGGTGACATCAGATATGGTGGGGGAGCAAAGAAGATGAGGAGGAGGAGGGTGGAGGTGACAAGGAGGTGAAACAGAATAGGGATCCAGAAGCGACCGTTGGGTGAGAATAAAAAAGAGAGTAAGGGTCCCATGGTGAGACTGAGTAAAGAAAAAAAAGGTAAGGGAGGGCGACAAAAGCGAGGGCGCAATGTGTAGCCAGGGGCGACGCAAAAATTTGCCGAAATGCGGAAAGTACCAAATGGAAAAGCAAAGATGAACGCAACTGGATTGCCTAATAGCGGTGGTGCTGATCAGCCACAAATTCAGGAAAGGCAATATTAATTACTATTCCACGTGGCACTGTGCCTGTGTGGCGCAAAGGCGAGTCTTTTTGAATATTCACTTCGTTATTGACACCTGTCCATGCTACCAATCAACTTTGGTGCATGACACCGCAACGCACCATCAACGACCGCAGCACTAGAATATGCAACCCGCTAACTGGACAACCAGCAACCGTGTGGGTTGTAGGCCACATTTTGAAAGTATGGTTTACTTACAACAATAAGCCGGATAGGAAAGCTACTGTTGGTGTAGTTCCCCTCTCATCAGAGACAGCAGACAAAGTCACAATGACGTTATTCAATCGTTCTGTGATGGACGGTTCGTCTCGCACTCTAATTTTGTTCATATGTCTGATTTCCGCCTTCTATATTTCTGCTTGCCCTTAGATCTTGTTGACGAAGGGCTAGGAGACATCAAAGCAATAAAATGGCAAAGTAAACTTGTCAGAGGACAAAATTTGCCCATCAGAAAGTCTTATTGTTATCCTTCAATCTTACTAACCTCTCTCAGGCAACATTGTGCAATACTATCTATGATGCTCAAGATGCTTTTTGTGACAAAGAAAACATGCCACAATATCACGCATTGGATTTGAAAATAGGAGATCTCGTCCTCATGGAAGTCAACATTGTATGTTATAAAATAAAGACAGATGAAAGACAGAAGGCTCTCAACCACTGGGTGGTGTAGTGGACCCACCTTGAATTCATGAGAATATCTTTACTCTATTGTAGCAACACAACACAAGAGAACGCGGAAGAGGACAAAAATGTTATCCCTGAATTTGTCTTGTAATAAGTAACTAAATTACATAGCTTCGCTCAATCATGTCTGTAAACAAATGCCAATTCTTTTGTAGCTTAGAATTCTTTTTCTCAAAATTCTAACGGAATACAATAAAACCATATATTTCCCTCACTCCCTTGGCTATAATTCTTGTTTCTCCCGCTGTCATGCACCAAAGTTGATTGGTAGCATGGACAGGTGTCAATAACGAAGTGAATATTCAAAAAAACTCACCTTTGCGCCACACAGGCACAGTGCCACGTGGAATAGTAATTAATATTACCTTTCCTGAATTTGTGGCTGATCAGCACCACCGCTATTAGGCAATCCAGTTGCGTTCACCTTTGCTTTTCCATTTGGTACTTTCCGCATTTCGGCAAATTTTTGCGTCGCCCCTGGCTACACATTGCGCCCTCGCTTTTGTCGCCCTCCCTTACCTTTTTTTTCTTTACTCAGTCTCACCATGGGACCCTTACTCTCTTTTTTATTCTCACCCAACGGTCGCTTCTGGATCCCTATTCTGTTTCACCTCCTTGTCACCTCCACCCTCCTCCTCCTCATCTTCTTTGCTCCCCCACCATATCTGATGTCACCACTTTCTATCCGTTTCCGTCGCCAATTCGTCAACCACCATGTGCCGCTGCTGATATCAGCAAAGCCCCGGCAGCTGGTCCAAATTGGGCAAAAGGTCCATCTTCATGACGTCAATCTTCCATCATATACCATCAAAACATCGGTTGCTCGTCTTGCCTGGTTGGAGTGTGGGTGGGTAGTTTTTGAGCTGGAGAAGGTTCATCCCCTTGCATCGCCCATGTACATCGCCGTCCCATTCACTTGGGTACACTTATCTTTTGTCCATCGTCTTTGCTACAGCTACACCTACCACACGCTGCCTGGGACTCACTTGTTCCAAATTGGGACTACTCCTCTCCCTCCCTCATTTGACCAGGTGGTCCAACACAACCAGTCTATTGGTAAGGCCATGGAACTGTCGGATTTGGACTAGGTGGTGGACCGGTGGCTCCAGTTTCTTTTTTTTCAGCAGAACATTCATTTACAGTGCAATTATTTTTGATTATTGAATCATTTTTATGGACACATATTTTTTAGAATGCCTAACTGACAATAAAGGAACTGTGTTGATACTGATAGTGTTTTGCCTTACCCTTTTTTACTCATGACATCATGATTTTCCTGCTCTCTTTCTGCTATTGGACTTTACTTTATGGCTGTACAAACCTGTGACATTACTCACAGCATTCATTGTTCTATCTCTTTCTTTTCCTTATTTTGACAATCTTATCCTGTACTACCTACACAGGATTCGTCAGCATACATTCCTTCCTTCATGTTCTTTCTCATTCTTTTTGCACAGCTATACTGTGCATAGCCTCCCTTTATTTTACTATATAAACCCCTGTATTTTACCTTGTAAAAAAAACAACAAGAAATCCAATCCAGACTTCTTCTCTAAATCTCAAGTTCACTACTCTGCTACTTGTGATCCAGTGTGGTCACAACACTTCCCACTGTTACTACTGTTAATTGCTGTCATCGTCACTCGTCACTTTTGAGAGTGATTGTCATCCCTTTCGATTAGAGTCCTTCTGAGCACTACAGTTTGTGCATCAGGAGCCTGCTATCACTGGGAACCTCGTTTTCTTGTCATTCTCAAACCTACCTTGTGCTAAGATTAGCAAGGTAGTGCGCATATATACTCGCCACAAAGCCCCTATCTTCTACATTCCAACTATCCCTCCTCCTCAAAACCCACACCCATACATCTCTGGGTTTAACTTTGAAGGATCCTCATACATACCACCCCACGAACAACCAGAGCACCCACTGTTCTAGGAGGCAAAGCCCATAAACAAGTTCCGTGGAATCTGGGAGGATTGTGTGTTAGTTTGTTTTGTGTGTGGTTTTCTAACAACAGTTCTCATCATCGACAGCGGGCCCCAAGTGAAGTGCCTTGGTAATTTGGAAATGGAGTAGATATTGGCTGCATCACTGGCAAAATTGATGAAGCGGTGGATTTGACTGGAGAAAGAACAGTGAGACAATACATGTCATGTCTTTTTCTTGTACTTACGTCTGAAAGTCTTCAGTATAGTGAGCAATTTCTGATATATCAATAGTGTTCAAGATGGGCTGGGGCATAGCAGCCCCTATTGAAGACGCGCGGATTGCTACTTTCTTTGGGGAGTGTTTTGGTTGCTAACATCAAAATGAGTATGGTAAAAAAAAGGAAGAATGCAGCAATACTGAAGCCAGCATTTTAGTCTTTGGCAGTTGTTGGAGGAGTTGGTGAGACTTATCGCGTGTTTTGGAAACATCTGCAGCAGGCATAGTTGATGTTGTTGCCTGCCGTAAAGTGATGTCAGAAGGCTCGCATAAAAATGGCAACTAATAGGTGACTCACTAGTAAAGTTTGAGAGGGTTTCTTGTGATTCCTGTCAATGCTTTTGCCTTTGTCCAAAGGACGTGCATGGTTTAAAGCAGGCAAGGAAACATCTGTTGGGGAAGGGACATTTGTGTTGTCGTCATCAGTATTCTTGATGTCAGTTTCTCCACTAAAGCTCTATCAGTAGAGAGTAAAATATAAAGGAAAAGGTGACTTGCCAAGGCCATTTAACAGGTTTTTCGGTCTGGCCTGTAATAGAAGCCTGAGATCTTTTAGTAGTCATAGCAGGAAAGATGAATAAAGGTTTTGATGACAGTTGACACAAGGTATTTATGTGCAAACACAGCAAGTGACTAAACTGTCAGCGTCATAATTTACATCAGAGCAAATAAACAGAGCCTGGAGACTTAGGAGTACAATATGAATTAATTGTATCGTCCTAAAGTCAATAAAAAATCAGAGAATGATTGAATATCAAACATCTAATTGTAATGAAATATGCCATTGAATGTGATCATGTGAGGATATGATTGCTTGGACGTTTTATAGTAGAAGTTATTTATTGGGCATTTTGTATGATGTCATGTCTTTTATGTTAATCATTTTACCTGGGCGAATGCGTGGCAATGTCAAGAGTTTGTCTAACTTTGGTACATTTCACAGACATAGTTGCATCGTGAGAGCTACATTTCTTTGGTTGGTCACTGGACTAGAAAAAGCAATAGATGAATGTATTTATTTAGGAGCAATTAGAGAGGACTTACTGACTTTGCCGCAACGCTCTCTTGTAATTGGATAATATGAGTGAAGGTTGGGAAAACTTTCACCGTTTTTTGTCCGGAGGCACCACGTCTTACGACAATATCAAATTCTACACCTACTTCAACAAAATCTCCAGGCGACAGAAGAAGGTGTTTTATCGCCGTCAGTTGATTGGTAGCATTATATTTTGCGACAGGCAATTTGTCATTGGTGTTCCATTCTGCACTAATCCGCTCATAATAATGGTTAGGATTGTCTGGTGCCGCTAAGAAATCTGGTTGAACACTGTTCTTTGCATGTAGAGATTTTGATGATTGTTTGGCGTGGATTGAAGCTGCGAGCCAGGGGCAAGCATTTTGCTAACCAATTTGCGAATCACGCTTAAAGAAGAAATTGTAGCTAGCCACGGCTTGCGATGACCTGAACAAGTGAGAATTAATGACTGACACACAGTTCAAATCGTTTCATTATTTCTATAATAGATAATGTCAGCGCTGAAATTTAGACAAAGATAGTGTTCATACCCATTCCAATTGCCTAAAGTAGCCAATTGTAACATCTTGATAAAACCATGCAGGCGAATAGACATGGGGTAAACTTCTCCTTCAACTTCTGGAGAGGGCAAAGAGTAGACTAATTGATATCCTCGAGTGGAGTCTACGCAATCCTCGTCTTGCATCACATGCACCCATTCCAGCATTTTGTCTAAGGTGTGAGGAACAATTTGCCACTTTTGAAGCTCTGCAGCTCTCACATCAGGAGTTTCTTTATTTCCCAATGTGCACACCCAAAGATAAAGATAGCGCACAAGGATATTGTTGTTATCTAAGAAAATGGAAAGGGATTAAAGTATACATTGGCCAAAGAAAACTTACTTACTGGTCAAATATGACATGTTAGGGAGCTAAAGAAAAAGAAAAGAGCGTGCTTTCAGGTGGCAGAGATAGAGTTTTATAGCGAATTATACTTAGCAAAGAAGTTTTGATAGGGACAATCCCTCCCATTGTGATATGAATAAGACATTGAAATATATCAGGCCCAGACAATGTGGTTAGATGTGATGCGGTTATACTGAGTGATAGAGCCCCATGAATTGCATATTTCATGAATAAGATGCAGAGCTAGATGGCGGCAACATGAACATGCGGCCAATACCAAAGAGCGACTCTACCACAATCAAGACCTGAGTTTGAAAAAGTTCAAGGCACACATTTGTCTCAGATCAAGATGATCGATACTGTATAGCAATGGTATGTTGCTATAATGTTTTTTCACCATGATCAATAGCTGTCTTCTGTTGCTCCTAAGGAAGTCTCCACATCATTTTGTTTGTTGAAATAACATGCTCAACTGTGACAGTGTTACTATCAGAGGAAGATTGACATTGTATAGTATGAAGGGAACACAAGCATGAGTTTGGTACGTCACTTTAACTTACATCAACAGCTCCTTTATTTTCGCGCAACAGAGGATGTCATTGGTCTCAAAGGAGGACATAAAAGAACACCAGAGTTCTGCAATATGAGGATATTTCTTCTAAGCAAGATGTCTGTACGGATTCATGGATTGTTTGCAGAGTACTATGATAGGGAAACCACAGTGTGAACAAAAATTCTTTCATTTATCTATTCCGATAGACTGATAAAGTGTCAACTCAGGAAACTCAATACTCTTTTGAATTTTGCAAAACCATCATTAGCTCTGTATTCGCCAGAGTTGATGCCACCAGATGCAAATTGGGGGGTTGGCATGATAATCATGATTACACCAAAGCATCTTTTCTGTGCAATCGTACTGGGGAGCAAACCATGCAGATGAATGTTATCGGTTATATCCATGACATGGACCTTTTCACTGTTGGTGAGGAGTATTTGCGTTTGAAGCCAATTGGTTATGGTACAACACGTGTACTGCGGGAATGGCTGGCTAAAACTGCTTTCCCTCAAGGCGGTAAGTTAATATCAATGTTTCATTCATGACATTGAACCATTATTTCAAAGTATGGTCTGAGAGAGATGATGTGGTCAAGACGTTTGCGGTGAGTCAATGCAAGATACAAAGAGCTTCACTAATTATCAAGTTTGTAGAACAACTTTTCATTTGGTTGTGAGGTCAATGATGGCCACAAATATCTTCAGGCAGGAGAGAAGCCTTTCGCATATAAAGAAGAAGATCTTATTGAAGGAGATTTAGTGATGTTACACGTGATGCAACGATGGTTTCCTCTGATACCGCAGGATATTTTTGAAATTGACAGGGTTAATTGGGAGGCATTTCATTCAGTGCGATGGAAGACGTGCAATTGGAGAACATTCTTAGAGTTGAAGGAAGTCGCATTGTTACGTGAGGCAATAGATAGATGTAGAACATTTTTCCAATAATTGTGTTAAAGTCATTTGTCAATGATGCTCACATTGATTTTGATGGGTTTTTTGGTGGAACAACTACAGAAAAGCTCATTGCAAAGTGCTTCGACCCAAGCTGGTAACTAAATACCCACTAATCTCTCCAAAAGGCTTCCCAAATGAATGCAGATGGAACAATTTAGGTTGTGTATGAGTAACCAAGAACAGACAATTAACTTTCCTCCAAATGGTGTCCAACTCATCATTGTTTAGGATTTGCACTATTTTTTGGCAAACAAAGTTATGCCTCATTCATAACTGGTAAGGTCGCACCAAGATAGTCAAATTCACTCTCAAATTCAAGTGCTGTAATGATGTCTAGATCCTCTAAGTGTGCAAATTCTTCACGCAACTCACCAGAAAGCTGTTTGTATACATCATGGGATGAGAACCAATGCAATATTCCAATGCTTTCTAATGAAGTTGCTCGAGATAGCATGACATAGACATTTTGTAGACAAGTAGCGCTAGCAAGATCAACAATGATGTTCAATAATGAATGTCCCTGGACTTTGTAATCCGTAAATACAAAGGCTGGCAGCATAGGTAATTGCTTCCTTGATATTGAATGTAACATCTCATTAATTTTGTATTTGAATGTAGTGGGTGCTGGAAACACAGGCACTGTTCCTTCCTCTAATCCAGGCAAAGTCAATGTAGCTGCGGGTACATGAACGTAAGCACACAATGCATAATAATGGCCCTCTTCATCAGTCTCCCATATAACATTCTTGAGTCCCCTCACTTCCATTAACTACTTTGCTATTGATTGCAGCATTCTCTGTGATCATCACAGGCATTCCTGGAACAAGGGGTAAAGATCCAAGGGCATCTTTCGAAACTGTGGACCTAATCTTCCATGCACGGTGTCGATGATGAGAACTGTTGTTAGAAAACCACACACAAAAACAAACTAACACATAATCCTCCCAGATTCCACGGAACTTGTTTATGGGCTTTGCCTCCTAGAACAGTGGGTGCTCTGGTTGTTCGTGGGGTGGTATGTATAAGGATCCTTCAAAGTAAAACCCAGAGATGTATGGGTGTGGGTTTTGAGGAGGAGGGATAGTTGAATTTATAGAAGATAGGTGCTTAGTGACGAGTATAGATGAGCACTACCTTGCTCATTGTAGCACAAGGTAGGTTTGAGAACGACGAGGATGACGAGGTGACAAGGTTCCCAGTGATAGCAGGCTCCTGACGCACAAACTGTAGTGCTCAGAAGGACTCTAATCGAAAGGGATGACAATGACTTCAAAAATGGGAAGTGACGATGACAGCAGTTGACAGTGGTAGCAGTGGTAAGTGTTGTGACCACACTGGATCACAAGCAGCAGAGTAGTGAACTTGAAATTAGAGAAGAAGTCTGGATTGGAGTTCTTGTTTTTTTTACAAGGTAAAATACAGGGGTTTATATAGTAAAAGAAAAGTAGGCTATGCACAGTATAGCTGTGCAAAAAGAATGAGAAAAAACATGAAGGAAGGAATGTATACTGACGAATCCTGCGTAGGTAGTACAGGATAAGATTGTCAAAAAAAGGAAAAGAAAGAGATAGAACAATGAATGCTGTGAGTAATGTCACAGGTTTGTACAGCCATAAAGTAAAGTCCAATAGCAAAAAGAGAGCAGGAAAATCATGATGTCATGGGAAGATGCAGTAAAAAAAAGGGCAAGGCAAAACACTATCAGTATCAACACAGTTCCTTTATTGTCAGTCAGGCATTCTAAAAAAATATGTGTCCATAAAAATGATTCAAAAATCAAAAATAATCGCACTGTAAATGAATGTTCTGCTGAAAAAAAAGAAACTGGAGCCACCGGTCCACCACCTAGTCCAAATCCGACAGTTCCATGGCCTTACCAATGGACTGGTTGTGTTGGACCACCTGATCAAACGAGGGAGGGAGAGGAGTAGTCCAATTTGGAACAAGTGAGTCCCAGGCAGCGTGTGGTAGGTGTAGTTGTAGCGAAGACGATGGACAAAAGATAAGTGTACCCAAGTGAATGGGACAGCGATTAACATGGGCGACGCAAGGGGATGAACCTTCTCCAGCTCAAAAATTACCCACCCACGCTCCAACTAGGCAAGACGAGCGACCGATGTTTTGATGGTATATGATGGCAGATCGACGTCATGAAGATGGACCTGTTGCCCTATTTGGACCGGCCGCCGGGGCTTTGCTGATATCAGCAGTGGCACGTGGTAGTCAACGGATTGGCGACGGAAGCGGATAGGAAGTGGTGACATCAGAAATGGTGGGGGTGCAAATAAGATGAGGAGGAGGAGGGTGGAGGTGACAAACAAGTGGATTAGAATGGGGATCCAGAAACGACTGTCAGGTGAGAATAAAAAGGAGAGGAAGGGGCCCATGGTGGGGCTAGGCAAAGGAAGGGGAGTAAGGGAAACGACAAAAGCGAGGGCGCAATGCAATGTGTAGCCAGTGGCAACGCAAAAATTTGCCGAAATGCCGAAATGCGGAAAGTACCGGATGGAAAAGCAAAGGTGAGCGTGACTGGATTGCCTAATAGAGGTGGTGCTGATCAGCCACAAGTTCAAAAAGGGCAATATTAATTACTATTCCACATGGCACTGTGCCTGTGTGGCGCAAAGGCGAGTCTTTTTGAATATTCGCTTCATTATTGACACCTGTCCATGCTACCAATCAACTTTGGTGCATGACAGCGGGCTAGGCCCCATGACATCATCAGCCACTGTCTCTATCAACTGTATAGTACACATGTACAAACAAAACCTGTAGTAGTATATATACCCCAATAGATCCAGGAGACTCCTCAGCGAGTCCTCCTGTTGTATACCAACTAACTCTCTGCATTCTAAGGGGTAACCACTCCCTCATCATCTTTCTCTATAGTGTGTTCCTGTGTGCGCCAGAGTATATCTTGGTTGTTACAGTGCCGAGCGGAGCTTCAGCTTATGTGACCTTTGTGATGTCTAAATAGCCCCCCATCTGAATCAACGGTTAACAACAGTACAGCTAAATGGATATTGATAAACCACCATGTGAGAGCACACATACAAGAAGACAAAATGGAGTGTGAATAATTTTACAGTGCTGGCTACCAGCATGTGACTCTGTCAGAGTCTAACCATATCAGTTTAGCCTTTTTTAAGATTTAGTCTAATATTCCAACTCAAATCAACCCAGTGGAAAGTCAGCATGTGCATGTAATTTTTCAAAATATTGGTCTATTATTATGAATTTAGCTGTAAATGGAGTTGGTTGTGAGTTCTAAATAATGAATGGTGGCGGAGATCAAATACAAACTATACAATTGGAATGTAAATAATGCAGATCACAAACACAATATGTTATAGAAAAAGAAATAATGTCATAAAAAGAGGAAGAACACAGCATTACTTATCAGAAATCTAATTTACCTCATTTTGCAGAGCAATTGACAGAGCAATGGCTATTTGCTACCCACAGAACCCTCCTCAACTAACATTTGGAGTTGGAGATGATGATATCCAATAGCGTGGCAAGCTCTTCCACAGAAGAAGGCTTCATGACAATATTAGACAACAAGGTGGGTGATTTTGCCCAATTTTTTCGAGGGTGTATATCCTGAAGCCCTTGCAGTCAGTGTAAGTGATTATATCGTTGCAGCCAAGTATGTGCTCGCTGGCAGCGCCAGTATCAATAAGTCCTTTCTTTATTGCTCTCCTACCTTCACTGATTTTGGGCCTCTTTTTACCTATATTGTGTTGTTTACTTGTGTGTGAGATAATTGTGATAGGTGTATTGCCGTATGTGACATCCAACAAAATAATGTCCAAGGATGGGATTTTGTTTATATCTAGCGCTTGTCTACAACAGTGTTTTGATTTTTATTGTGTATTCGAGGGTGGTGTGAATGAAGCATCTTTGTATCCTAAAGGTCCTTGCATTGTTGTTAGTCCTCCATCTATATCTGAACTGTTAAGTCATTTTGAATTTTGTTCCATTGCAGATTTGTGTGGCATTGCAGATGCTCATGGCATCAATATTGGCAGAACTTTTAAAAAGGCATGGCTGCGTAATGCTATCCATTTGCATGAGTGTAAGGCACAGTGTAAACAAATACTGTATGTCTTTAAACATGCCAGGTGGCAGAGGAAGTGAACAGGATGTGCAGAATTAACAGAACTATTTGGTGATACAAGCAAAGTATGCGATACATTGCAGAGTCAACGCTTAAAAAGGCAACAACTGCAGCAGGACAAACTTGGAGCTGAAAGTGTGCATGTGCCAGAGAGTGCCTCATCAAGATTCATTTTGCAATTTGTGCAAACCCGAACCACAGGGTTAAGTGGACACCATTTGAACAGTAAGACTTGGGTGCCAGTTGGCGTTGAGCTTTTGCTAGCCCATGTAAACCAAGTGTGTAACCCAATTCTACAGACGAGCTCCTCAGGACAAATTACTAGGAAAGAATTGAACCAAACTATACACAGCCCCAGTGTCAAGGGGAGTACTATCACAGCAAGCATAACCAACTTTTGTCACACCCAAAATTAATGAAAAAGTCTGAAAGTAGTTAAAATGTTTAATTGCATTTTGGACCTACAAGACTTTATCAGAATAATGTATTTTTGTTAACATATTTCTACATATCCACACAAAAATATAGTATTTATGGGAATATGTCAACAAAAAGACATCATTTTGTAGGTCCAAAATGCAATCAAATATTTCAGCTACTTTCAGACTTTTCCATCAATTATGAGTATGACAAAAGTTGGTTATGCTTGCTGTGTATAGCTCAACAGTGGTGCAGAACCATTGTTGATTAGAAAATACGTAAAACTTCTTCCTCAGATACCTCTGACCAGACTGGGCACTTGCCTCCACCAGTTGGAGAAGGGTTGTTAGCTTAACAAGTGGACCACCCCCTGATAAATGTTCGAACCAGGGTTTATTACTATAACTTTACATAAAATTCTAAATACTATAGTGTGAGTAGTTGGAGATTGAGATCTGATATCCAGCTGGGAAGAGGTAGATCCACAGATAGCAAGTGGGGACCCCCAGTTACATTTTTATTACTTTACAAAGAAAATAAGTCAACATGTTGTTGCAAAAACAGGCAGTGGACATAAATGCCATCCTTTACTACCTTTACTATATGCAGGAGAAGATTATGCATCTCACTGCACATTTGTAAGAGATCCAGGCTAACCAAGGCACTGGAAGCAGTGTTGAACAAAAGTTCAGGAGACTGAGCAAAATTTGCTGATTGGTGGATCAAGCTCCAAATTTGGATCAAGACAGGTTGGGATGTGTTTGCCAATGATTTTGTTCCTTTCAATGAATCAAGGCCATTGTACCATATGCTTACTTTGTTAGGTTATATCTTTCACTACATCACCACCCCATTCACTATCCAGGACCTTGTCATTTCCACTGCAGAGTATTGTCATGCTTCAAGACAAGTAATCATTACTGAGAGCATCAACCATACCATTGTCACTCCCCTCCTAGCAATATCTCAAAGACTTGCGAGGTTTGAACATGTAGGTGTCAAGTATCATTCAAGTATCATGATTATTTTTGACAACTTAAACAGGCAAAGTTATATCCTAGAACCTTCAAAGGATTATCTTATGAGACTCACACTATTGAGCCAACAATAGTAGATGTACCTATCGACATCGGGATTGAAGTCATCAAATCCACTGATGATTTCAATGTAGAAGATTGGATCTTGAAGAGTAACTACTCCAATCTCGTAATGTTTCCTCAGGTTAC